GGGGCATTGATTGATTTAAGCAATATCAGATTTATAGGTCAATTTATAGAAGAATCTGCCAGTTTACGGGAGGACTAAAAAGTAGGCCGTGTCAGGAGTCGCATAACAAAGCAAAATTTGCAAACAAAGAAATTTCTTGTTATGTACATTGATAATATAAGATATAATTGATAAAAAGTGCTATAAACTTGAGTAGAAACGTCTTCATAAGTAGTATGTACACAAACATTAAAATATTTTCTTGTTGGCATTTTAACTCTACATTAACCGTCACCCTGGTTGAGTCTCTCTTTTAATAGCAATGGTATTAGATATCGTGCATTACAGTATTTCTCAACTAACATCTCATGTATAATGACACAATGTAAAGAAAAAAACAATGTTTTTCAATAGTAATATAGTAGTCATAATAAAAATAATATAATTAATAAATAATATATGACGTTAAAAAATTATATGATTTTAATGCAGTATGTTTAATCCTAAAATAAAATCGTGTTAAACTCATCAGATATATATATAATTTTGATTTTATTAGAATAATGTAAAAATCTTTAGATTAACATTTATTAAATTTGAGAAATACTGTCCTATTGAATTTTGCTGAATTGAATTGTATACTGCCACCTTAATAATTCTTGTGATTGAAGAAAGGAGAGACTTGCTTGATGGACTGCCGGCGTAGAATGACCACTTACTAAATATATGATCAATCTTACAATCATTGTGCCTATTGATTATAAAAATCAAGGGCAAATGAGACTTTAATTAGTCATACCACATCATCAAATAATTCATAAAAATTAAATATCTAAGAAATCATTTCACCAAACATTTTAAGATCAAGACATTATCACTATAGAATTTTACTCTAATTTTGAGAAGGTAGCAATGCAGCCAGTAGATCAATAGCGTAAAAAAATATTGTTAAGTGTTTGCTGCAACGAGTTATATACTTATTATATATGTTTTGATGGAGTATTAGAAGAATGCATAATATTTATTTAAAATAGAGAAGGTCTATTGGTACATCTGTCACTACTACACAAATCTGATAATAAAAATTAAATAAAATATAATTTATAGTCAATCACAGCACAGTGACTTTTTAAAGAAATTATTCCAAGTCAAAAATAAGCAATATAAATTAATAATTTTTAATAATACAATGACATATTGTATAAGTTCTTTTTAATTGATCTTTTTTTTTATATTGTTCATATGTGTGCATTGTGTTATAAATTATTATTAGTATAATTTAATTTGAGATATTATGCACATTATATAAGCAATGAATCTGAAATTAATTTATTGTGATGTAGATTAGGATATATATGTATTACACGATATGAGGACCAAAATACATATTTGCAATATATAAACTGTTTTACGGGAAAATATATATTAACAATTCTCTTTCGTATAATTATGCTATATATATGATAAGACAAATGTCTAATATAGTATCTACTGTAAAAAAGTATCTGTACTATGATTATGAACGAACTTTTATGCTATGTCATGCTATTTTTTATTTTAATATGCACTTATTACTTCTACTACTACCACTGATATATGTATCAATATGGTCTTCTCTACAGGAATTGTATATGAAATATAATTGGAATTGAGAAATTATTACACACTAATGTGTGAACATCATCCTTATGTAGATATCCTTTGAATTAAATAAAGGAGATAAATTTGTTTGCTTGAATATTTTTACTTATTGTTAGATTTACAGAGAGTATGTACGAAATTAAATTAAAAAAATTAATTTTAAAGGATTCATGAGCGAGGCCTTAGGAGTAGTCGTATCCGCCCAATACTTCACTTAAATAATATGATATTTAAATACTCCATTATACTAAGTATATAAAAATAGATATTTAGTTTAAAAGTTCTCAATTAGATGTTATATTAGAACTACTAATTAAATTCTGGAAAATTTTTAACTGTAAGTTATTACGATTGTATGATACACGAATTTTAGTGAATGGATAAAAGAAACGGCTGATATTAAACAAAATTGCACCTTAACTTTTATCATTAGATATTTGGTAGTAGTCGTATACAACTGTTATATATTTTTATTTAATTGCATGTTATTAATACACGACTTGAATGAATGAAAGTATGTTTTAAATGATCGCATTATTTACTCATCATTGTTCCGTATAATGTATTCATCTAATATCCTCTGTAAATTATTATAATGCGTTTATTTTGTTTATACTGTAATTAATGATAAGGAAATTTCCTTATTTTAGTAAACAATGAGAAACTTAATTTTTCAGCACTTTCTAAAAAAGATATTTTAGAAAAAAAAATTATCTCTAACAACCAGATTGAATTATTTCAAATATATAATATTTATATAATATTTAACCCAATTATAAGCGATCAAAAAATATAGGGGGCCAGTTTTGAGCTACCCAAGCCTAAAAAATCAAAGATAGATTTATTAATTTTAGCTGTACATTATTTATAAGAGAGTTCTAGACATGATTTAGCGCGATATGCGATTGAACGTTCTTTCATTTATTTATTCTTAATGGATATTATGTATAAAATATATATTTTACCAGCTATTTAAATAAACTCGCAATCGCACTAAATTTAAAGTCGAATTATCCTTATCTTTGTACGCCAACAAGACATTTTTTATTTCGAAAACATTGGAGATATAAGAGTGACGAGTACCTATTCGATCGACGTTTCTTATATCGATAAAATATAGAATTTATGATTAATTGGCAGGAATGCAGTTGGATGTGTATAATATTTTAGGGTCGGCCTATTTAATGTACAAAAGTGAAAGTACGGTCTTACTTACAACAAACATACTCTACAGAATCTTTTTTTGTTTATTTTCTTACAGTATTTATGTAGTTTTATAACAGACTTTATTCTCTTTTTTTTTTTTTATAATTTCATGTTATATAAGCTGTTCTGTAAAAAAAATAAACAAAAGAACGAGTACAAGTTAAACTGTATTATCTATTGTTCGGGAAACTCTAGATAAGGTTAATAAATAGAAATAATAGATAAAATATTAAGATACCAGAATGAGAAAGAAAATTCAGTAATAGTAGACAAAAAGATAAAGAAAAAAAATTATATATATATATTATATTATCTACCTATACGCGGCCATTATCCCGAACGCACGTGTACGCACATTATGCATGTAACAGTTAAAGAACTGTACCAGCATGAGTAGGCGATATCGAAAATGTTACAACTGTATCTTTAATAATTGTAGTATTATATCCATTCACTCATAAATGGCAATAAGATTGTTATATTCTACGACGCACTGCCACATTTTTAAGCATGTTCAAGTTATTTTTAAAATCTTACCAAATGATAATTAACAATTAATATTGTATAACAATTGAATGATTTATGTATCAAGTTATAAAACAGGAAACATATACGATGTTATAATTAAATGAAAAAGAATTTTTCTATTTATCAAATTGCGTTTTCACAATATCATAATTACACTTGAAATATCACATTAAAATAAATTAATAGAGTTCATTTTTTTTTATCGTTATGATGTAAAACGTGAAGTCAAGTGTTTCCAATTAACGTAATTGATTACGATATTGTATTAGGATGTAGTCATAATTTCGCGTTTAATATTGTAAATGACTTTTAATCTTACATATATAAAATCTGAACGTTATTTTCTAATATTATATTCATAAAGTTAAAAATTATTTCTATGATATCAAATGTTCAATCTGTTACTTTTTCAAAGTCATTAAGTAAAAAAAAAAATCCTAATACGCGAACTCGCTGTGCAATGTATCCGCCATTTTTTAAGATTTTTTGACTTTTGTCCTTCACATTTTATTTGCAATTTTTATTGAATTTTTGTTGAGATAATAAAACATGTTCAATAGTAAATTTCAAATGTAAACGATTAGAAATATATTTAAAAAAAGAGAAAACAATAAATCAATTGTTAATATTAAAGATACTTGCCAATTTATAAAAAAAAAAAAAAAAAGAAAAGAAGCAACTGGGGCGAAGATACATTGAACGGCATGAAGTTCCTCTTATCGCATTTGACTTGTTGGCGTACGTTGTTAGATTAAGTTCTGAGTAAAACCTACCTCGTCTCTCTTGTTACGCCTACTATTATATTACTACTACCACTAAAATACTAATAATACTACTACTGACATTACACTACTACTTATTACAATGCTGTTATTGTTGACGAGAACTCCATATTATTAAAGAATAAATATATTGTCTGAAAGTATTATTCTTTCATTTCTTTACGATATTGTGGTGTAACACTTAAATGAACAAAAAGAAAAGCTTAATATATTAATCGAGTATCGTGATGTAAATATAATTTGATTTTTGTTAAAAATATCGTAATAATGTGAGAAACAAAAAGAAATATCATAAATTTTACTTTTTTTACTATTTTATAAACTTTATAAGAAAAAAAAAATAGTTTGACGTGCTCCTAACAGTATCTAAACTGTTAATGAAGACTAAAACGATCTAACGATTCAAAATGCACGAGCATCGAAGTTGCGAGTATAAAAAGCAAATACAAAGAAAGAAAGAAAAAAAAAAAAATGCGAAGAAGCTATTATGTATACGGATTCGACGTCGTTTACGTTGATTTAAATGTTATCGACATAAACGGAAAGGTAATTTTGCAAGTCACTCTAAGAGTCATCACGATGTCATGCTTGCCTCCTCATGGTCGACTTTTGACCACGCTTTAAATTACAAAGATCGAAGAAAGAAATCATTTCGTCTCGTTATTTGATAAAAAGAATTTAATTAAACAATAAAGCTCGCTTATAAAAACAGAACAAACAAATACCTATATATATATATATATATATATATGTATATTAATCTCGCTTATGTGTATACGTATGCTCGTTAAAAATTGATTAAAGATAATAATAACGTAGACTATTTATTAATAATATAACAATTTTTGTGTTGACAAGATTAATAAGATATATTTGTATTCGTAAATAGAGGAAAAGAATAGAGATACGTGATTCGTAGTAAGAGAAAGTACGATTGCGCTTCTTTTAAATATGCTTGCACTGTTACGATTGATGGCGGGAGGTATGAGAGTACAAGCAAAGTTAGTAGGCGCAGCTTAACGATGCTCATTGACGCTGTTGCTTTTAAAAACTAACAATAAGAGAAAAAGAAAGAGAAAGAGAAAAAGAGAGAGATAGATCTTTGATTTCTGACCATGACGAAGCGCGATCGCAAGAGATTGAAATCCTTCCTTCGCGCCGTAACACGTGCGCATGGAAATTATTCTACGTTTGAAGCGACAAACGCGTTCAGTGACATCGCATCTATCGCGACTGATCGCAGCGTTGTTTAATCCCTGCGTCATCGTACATGACCATCGATACAATCAGTCGTTGCTGGCCGATCGAAATATGTTCGTTGTCTAATGACTATCCGTATGTCTATGATAACTTATTTTGATCTTACCAATGAATATTATCGTTATTCTCAAAAATTATCCTGAAACATAAGACTTCCTGGTAAGTCATTCACTTACTGCGAACGCGCGCGTATTACGTATTTGAGATTTTTTTTCAGGCAAATCAATCTTCTTTAAAACAAAAATTAATTGTGGTGTTATATTTTATATATTAGCCAATGTTTACATTACAATCTTATCAATAAAACATTGTCTTGTCAAATGAAATAGACAAAAGCGAAAACATTCTATCTTTCCTTATTGTATTATAATCGTTACCATTCTTTATTTAAATTCTTTTCAAATTATTCAAAATTATTTCAATTGCTCATTTAAATAACTTGTGTGAATTTATAAAATTATGGTAGACCACTTTTTACATTGGTATCATCAATCTTATTGTCTCTATAATTGTTATTTAAATTTATTTCTTTTAATTCTACAAAGTTATTCCAAATTACAAAATATTTGATTAACATTCTAATTTGACTCTGTAGATTATAACTTTAATGGATGGAGAAGAAAATTGTCAACAGAATAAAGAAGCTTGCGGGAAACATGGATTAAAATCAACAATGCAAACTGAAGGAGAAAGTGTTCATTACGATTCTCCTAGTACATCTACACATGCAGATCTTGGAGATATGACATTTTATATGAGTAATTACCTTAAGGATGCTATGAAAATGATGTTTATGATGAGAAGTCATCATATGCTTACCGATGTCATACTTGAAGTAGGAACAGAATTATTTCATGCTCATAAGGTTATTTTAGCTGCTGCCAGTCCATATTTTAAGGTAAGAATCTTCATAAATTTATATGCAAGTTATGCATATATAAGTTGTATTAACTTTATTTGCAACAACTTTAATAGGCCATGTTTACTGGTGGATTAAAAGAAAGTGAAATGACAAGGATAAAACTTCAAGGAGTTTGTCCAACCGCCATGGCTCGCTTAATGTGTTTTATGTATACTGGTCAAATAAGTGTAACAGAAATAACTGTGTGTTCTTTACTATCCGCTGCTACAATGTTTCAAGTAAAGATAATAATATTCTGAATCTATGAATAATTGACTTAATAATATCATTTAATTATATATATATATATATGTATGTATATATTATGTAGGTTAGTAATGTAATAGATGCATGTTCTGTATTTTTGGAAAGACAATTGGATCCTACAAATGCAATTGGAATTGCAAATTTTGCAGAACAGCATGGTTGTCAAAATTTATATCATAAAGCAAATCGATTTATCGTACAACATTTTAATCGGATATGTCAAGAAGAAGAGTTCTTGCAACTTTCTGCGATGCAGTTAGTATCATTGGTACGAAAAGATGAACTCAATGTTCAAGAAGAAAGAGAAGTTTATAATGCAGTTTTGAAATGGGTGAAATACAATGAAGAAGCAAGAGGTCCTAAGATGGAACATATATTACAAGCTGTACGCTGTCAGTATCTTACACCAAATTTTCTGCGCGATCAAATGAAAAATTGTGATGTTTTAAAGAAAGTGCCTGCATGTCGTGAATACCTTGCTCAAATATTTAAAGACTTGACGCTTCATAAAAAACCAATAGTGAAAGAAAGAACACCTAATACGCCAAGAGTAATTTATATAGCTGGTGGATTTTTACAACATTCTTTAGATGTTTTAGAAGGATATAATGCAGATGACAAAACATGGACTACGCATTCAACACTCATATTTCCACGTTCTGGATTAGGAGGTGCATTCCTAAAAGGCATGTTTTATGCTGTTGGTGGTAGGAATAATACGCCTGAAACTAGGTTAGTAATTTAATATAACAAATTAAACAAATTTATAGATTTTTAAAATGACAAGAATGAATGGTACATGAATTTCAAGAAGGTTTGGGTAAATTTTAGATACGATTGTGATTGGGCAGATCGATACAATCCATTAACAGATCAATGGAGAACTTGTAGCCCAATGTCAGTTCCAAGAAATCGTCTTGGAGTTGCTGTTATGGATGGATTATTGTATGCTGTAGGTGGTAGTGCTGGTGCAGAGTATCATAACAGTGTTGAATGTTATGATCCAGATCAAGATATGTGGACTAATGTAAAACCTATGCATATTAAGAGATTAGGTGTTGGTGTAGCGGTTGTTAATAGGTAATAATGTCTTAAGTTATCTCATATTATAGAATTCTGAAAATTAGTATAATCCTAATTTGTAATAACAGACTACTTTATGCAATTGGTGGCTTTGATGGAAAGAATAGACTTAATTCTGTAGAATGCTATCATCCTGAAAATGATGAATGGACAATGGTTTCATCTATGAAATGTAGTCGTTCAGGAGCAGGAATTGCTAGTTTAGGTCAATATATATATGTCATAGGTGGATATGACGGATCGTGCCAATTAAAATCAGTTGAACGATATGATACAGAACGTGACGTGTGGGACTATGTCAGTAGTGTTTCTATTGCACGTAGTGCATTAAGTGTTACAGTTCTTGATGGAAAATTATATGCAATGGGTATGTGTTTATGTAATTATAATATTTCTTATAAAACTTTTAATAAAGATTCTTTTACAAATTGATATTTGAATAAAGAAATATTTATTTTTCAGGAGGTTACGATGGATCATCGTTTTTAAAGATCGTTGAAATTTATGATCCTGTTAAAGATCAATGGGAACAGGGAATAGATATGACATTTGGAAGATCTGGTCATGCAAGTGCTGTGTCTTATCATTTATGTCCAATACATTGCGATTACTTAGATCATAATATAACTTTGAACGGAGGTCCATTATGATATAATTATATAATTTTAATGCTAATTTATATATTAATAAGCCAACAACAAAAAATGAAATCATTCTTGAAAAGGAAAATTATGAAAAATCAATATAAAAATTAGAAAAAATATCCAATCATAATTGATCAAAGGTAAAATGATAAAAGTATGAATACTTGCACACAACCAGACTGATATATGTATTTTTGGTAATAGTGTTAAATTAATCTAGTTCCTAAGGTCTATAATAAGTAATAAAGGCCAAGATTTATACTGGAAGCCCAGATAAGTATATTTAATATAAATATCATGTAAAGAAGCTCGTGACGTCCATTAAGATAGGTTCACTTGTAATATGTAAATCATTTTTATAATATTATAAATAATATTTAACATGTTGTACATATTTATAACATAAATACATCGTTTTTGATTTTTATCATTATATAACTTTTTATTTACGTACGAGGTACGATTATAAAGTTAAACAATTTTTAGGGATTTTAATTAATAAGTATTGTATAATTTAGCTGAATGTAAATATAATCTAAGACAAGATGTATTTCTTTCATTCATTTATTTTTGTCTGTTATATACTATTAATATTATTCAATTGATTATATATTATATTAGTATTAATGTGATTAATATATTATTAAGAAATATAATATAATTATAATATTTTCTAGGACAAAAAAGTTGGCATAGAACCGCAACAGCAGAAAAAAATGAATAAGTGCACCTAATTGCTGACTAATTACTCAATCAAAATTCATATATATAATTGGTCACTTTATATATATTGATTAATTATTTAATTAATTATTAATAATTGGAAAATCGAAAAAATTTTTTCTCATTTCTAAGCAAAGCAATGAAGTTTTCTATTGTTTTTTGTTTTCAATCAATTGCTCACTTTTTGTTTGTCCGTTTGTCTCCGGTCTTTCTAGCTCCAATATGATTTCGGTTTTTTTTTAATCTAGTAAGTCTTTTTCCTGTGTGCCTGTTCCAAGACAATTGTTCTTAATGAGTAAACTTCTTTAATTAATAATTAAAACAAAATATCTATAATAGACTTCTAATTGTTGTTTGTTGATATAAATGGATATAGAATTTAATAACACATTCACTTTGTGTATACTACTTACTATTAAAAGTTACTAGGAGATATGCAAGTTTAAAATTTATTGAGATTCTAGTAACATTGCTAAGCATCATATCGGTAATAGTAGTGTTCTACTTTTATCTTATCGACAGTCGGTAATACGACTTATCGACAATCGGTAATACGACTTATCAACAGTCGGTAATACGACTTACCGACCGAGAGAGATCTTATGATAACTTACCATCAGAATTACCGAAGTAGAAAAACCTTCTCCGCAGAAAAAAATGAATTCGACCAATACATTGTTGATAAAATAGTTTATTATATTAATATCCATAATCAAAGTAAGATTTATGAATTTAAAAGACATTTAATAATTATAAATTAGCGATTATTAAATAAAAATTAATGCTGTATATAGAATTATCAACGTGATCATTAATCAGTGTATCGATTAAATATTGCAGTATAAACATAACATTTTTGGAATTTAAATCTCCCAACAAAGTGACTTGAAATATTATTAAATTTATTTATAATGCCTCAACAAGGATCAATATATGATTTAGCTTATCATGGTAAAACGTCAGATGTAAAAATCTTACTTAATCTAACTGAATCTTTGAAAACGCAAACTGACACTGTAAGTATTCAAATTTGATATATTATAATTAAAGATTGAGGTTAGATAATGAAGGATAAATCATTAATTTTTATTTTAGAATGGACGAATGTTAATACACTGGGCTGCTTTAGGTGGACATGACGATTTAGTGAGACATTTATTATCTCTCGGCTCACCAGTTGACCCAACAGATGATGTGAGTTTAGATTTAGTTTTATTTTGCATTGTAATGACAATACTGATAAAGATGATATCTCATTTTGTGTTAAAAATGAGTAGGTAATTTAAATGATATCATCTCTTCCACATTAAATTGATATAACACATATAAAAAAAGAAAAAATATTTTTCTTGCATAGAATTTTCGTATTATTATATAGAAGATGATTTTAAGAGTTTCTGTATTCGATCATTTCATAGACAAACATGACACCGTTAATTTTGGCAGCATCCGCTGGACGAGAAAAAGTAGTTAACACCTTGCTTACCGAAGGTGCAAACGTTAATGCAACGACTGAAGATGGACATTCGTCATTGCAATATGCAGCATCGAAAAATTGGAAGTCGATATGCGTTGCATTGCTCGAAAAATATGCTGACATTAATATTGCTGACAAGAGAGGAGCCACTCCTATGCACAGAGCTGCTTCAAAAGGAAATATTGCGATAGTTAAACTTTTATTAGAACATGGAAAAGATTTGAAGATAGGTCTCGTATTATTTCCTTTTTGAATAATTTTAATAATATATATACTGTGTGTGTGTGTGTGTTATATTAACTTGTTCAAAGATCAAAGGGATTAACTCCACTTTTAGAATTTTTCATAATTTTATTATCAAAGCTTTATATTTCAAATAAATTTCCTTAATGATTAGGCTTAGAACCATTTTAAATGAGAAGAATTTTTATGATTATTCAGTAATAAATAATACGACAATATATTATTATTTTTTTTATGGAGTTAATTAATTTGGCATCGTTTGGGTAGCTAATAATTTAATTTGTAAGTCACGTCGATCGTTTGTTTCAGATCAACAAGATGCATATGGAAATACCGCATTGCATTTAGCTTGTGAGGAAGATCGTCGCGAAGAAGCACTGTTGTTGGTTTTAAATGGTGCCAATCTAACGTTGACCAATAAAGAACGCAAAACTCCATTAGATTTGGCGGCTCCTGGATTAGTTCAAATGCTCAAACAACTAAAGGAAGACCCAACGACTGCTTAAGATTTTCTTCTCTTATATTTCAGTTATGCTTTAATGCAACACTGTCTAACTTCTCTTAATTTGAGGGTCATATTTTCTTTTGCAAACATTTCAAGAACCCAAGAAAGGTATATAATCAAAAAGTCAACAATTGTCATTTGAAAAATTTCATTTTAATTATTAATTTGATTTGGCAAATGTGTCTCCGTTTAAATTTTTGTTTCAAAATATTGATTTGCTTTGCGGGCTGCCAGTTGGACAGTGCTGCTTTAACGTATTGAATGTTTCTTCTTAAGAAAGAAAAGAAAAAAAAGAAAAAAAAAGAAAAGGAAAAACAAAAAAAAGAATAAATAAAAATACAAACGAAACAATTCTCTATGCGTGATTATACAAATAAAAAGACTCCAAGATTAGTGCTTTAATTTGATCTACTATTTCAGCATTTATTATACTTTTCTTTTATATACTTATGATGCAATCAACGTTTATATTTATTCCATATAAAACATATCAAAACTCTTCCTTCCGCGTTATTTCAAACTTCTATTTCTTCTTTTTTTTTGTTTCTCTCCTAGTTTCATTGTATATGACGGCTTACCCCGATTATCAAATACTTTCACAATGATCACTTCTCGTCACAGTCACAGGATTAATCATCATGTCCCTCCGTTGCGTAAAATCGTTTGAAAAATTTGCTTTATTTTCTTTTTATTATTGTTTTTTTTTATTTTTATTTATCGTTAATGCATAATAATGGCAAGCAGGACATGATATAAAAAAAAAACACCAACGAGAAATGAACATCCTCTCAAAGCAATTATATATACACAATTCACAGTGGTCACAAGTGGAAACATTTCTCGTGTTAAGAGATTGCATATCATTTTAATCGGCTCTCAGCGTCAACATGATATGCTGCCTCTGAAATCAACAGCACGTACAATGGCAGTTCCGTTGTTTTATTCGTTTTTTTTTTCATTTTCATCTTCTTCTTCTTTATTTTTAGAATCACGCCTTTGAAAAAATTTTGCCTAATATATTACTAGGAAGCCATAGTTTTAACACCTTATTTCGCTTAATATATATATATTATATATATATATTAAAGGCCTATTATATTATTAATTAGTATATTTTTCATGTTTGCTAGTCGCATCAAAATATATTCTAACCCTGGCACAATATGTTGTTAACTATAAATGCCTTTTGGTACAAAGGATTCCATAAAATGTGTGTGTATGTAAAAAAATGCGCGTATAAAACATCTTCACCCGGTGGTGGTGTATGTACTACTTGAGTTAGGTGATCGCTTTTAAACGCAATTTGTAAAATTTGCGCCTATACATTTGGACTCCCATTCCCAAGTCAGACGAAAATTTAGTCTCTCAAATGCATTTTCTTTTTCTTTTTTTTTTCTCTTTTTTTTCTCATTTTTTCCCCTTTTTTCCTTTATCCTTTAATTGTTTTTCCCTAATCAGTTCATTTCAAAAGGTTGGCGACAACTGAATAATTAATTCAGAAAATTATAAATTAAAATTATATCTTAAGTACAAAAAAAAGAAAGTCTTTGCGGCACACTGTTCTTCTTCCCCCACCAAAAATGTAATTAGTTGTGCTTAGAATTAAACCGAAGAATCGAATCTTAAATGCAACGATCGCGTATGAATGCAATTATGTTAACGAAGTGACGAATGTTACTCCTTAGTATAAATATTTTTCATCTAAATTTTAAATCTCTGAGAAGAGAAAGCAAGCAGCATGTACGAAAGACGAAATGCAATTGAAAACTTCGAAATGTACGAACCTTTTAAAATGAAACTGGAGTATACAACTATACCTCTCAATTTGTCTTATTTTATTTATATGATCCGCATAGTATTAGTTTAATTATTTTGATACTATTTGCGATAATAATAAAATATTATAATAATTAATAATACTTATAATAGTAATAGTAATAATAATAATTAAAAATGTGTACGGTGTTTTTGTGTGTGTGTATGTCTGCGTTTGAGAGAGAATGCTTTTTATAGCAACAAAAATATAATGCAATAATAATAATAATAATAATAATAATAA